CTCTTCTTTCTATTTCCTTGTTGGCTTCATAGAGTTTGGAACAAGGAATTCGGTCAATTGCGTTAAGGACCTTTTCTTCCTCTGCCAAGGAGGTAATGACTTTTGTTTCATGTAGATTTGTGTTTATGTGGTGGAAAACAATAGATGTGGCTAAATTACATGAAAACTCTGTGCTTCTTCCCTCTTGGACCTTTAGATTTGTGTTTGATGTCGATATATGCTTGCATGGTGGGAAACAATAGATATGGCAAAAATTACCTGAAAAATATTGTGCTTCTTGGGCCTTTGGATTTGGAGCGCATTTTTATGGTGTTTGAATTCTCCCATGTTCTTATACACTGATTTGTCGCCACAAGCTCACGGGCAGGGGTAGGCTTCAAGGCCATAAAGTCACTCCTAACCCTTGTTGCTTGATACTCTCTTACTCACTACCCAGCAAGCAAGAGCTACTCTTCTGTTACTTAAGAGAACTTTCTATGTGCGCGATTTGGGATCGGGAGTTGATTGGGAAGCAGAAGTTATATGTAAAAGCTGGCTTCAAAGTTTTAGGCTTGAGTGATACTGTGATAGACTGATAGAGTACAAGAATCAATAGAGGCACCTCATTTTTTCACTTTAGGCCATTGCAAATAATTATGATTTATCTATTACATGTTTCATGTACTCTGTTGTGGTGAAATTATGTTTTCCATTGCCATTTGTTGCAGATGACAGTGCGTGATGCTTTAAATTCAGCACTTGATGAAGAAATGTCCGCTGATCCCAAAGTTTTTCTAATGGGTGAGGAGGTACTGTGGAAATATCAAAATTTTCTATTAATGGAATATAAGGCTGTCTTGTATGCATTTTCTTTTTGAATGGCTTGATATATGTTGACTTATTTAGTGCTCATATACAGGTCGGTGAGTATCAGGGTGCTTATAAGGTGAGTTTTAGTTCAGCTACAACCTCCATACTATAATGAAATATTTGTATTGCAAACTAGATTTAATTTAAAATATTTTTCATTAGATCTCCAAAGGGCTACTGAACAAATATGGTCCTGAGAGGGTCCGCGATACACCCATCACTGAGGTTGGCTTTGGTCTTTTACTTATTTCCGAGTTATGTGGTAAAACTTGGTACTCAACCATATATTTCTCCTCTAGGCTGGATTTGCTGGAATTGGAGTTGGTGCTGCTTATTATGGATTGAAACCCGTGGTAGAGTTTATGACTTTTAACTTCTCCATGCAGGTTTGATTTCTTTCCCTTGCTTCAATGTTTGGCTTTGGGTTGGACCTTTAACACATTTCCTTGTCATCGATGCATTCAATTATCCGAGTTCCATTAAATCTATTTTTCATGAAATTTAGCTCTGATCTTGAGTTTGCATTAAAATGGTTACTGAGTATCTTCTATCTGGTCTTAAGAGAATCACAGTTAAGCCATGGGAAACCTTCAACTTTATTTGGTTTTGGTTTGTTCATGTTATTTTGATAATCATGATTATTGACTTACAAATATTTAATTGGATCTATTGTCGAAAGTATTGCTTAAATTATTGGGCTTGCCTGAAGAATTTGATTCCCCCTCATCTCACAACGAGTTCAATAGTTGTTTCCCACAGATTAAAAATGCTGGTCAATATAGTTACGATACAACATGTTTCATTCGTACTTCAATCATTAAGTAGTTGTTTGTTCATTGTCTACTTAGGTTACACAAAAGTTAATCTAGATAAAAACACTATTCTGTTCCTAGATGAATGATTAGGAGTACATGGAATCGAAAACTTGAGTACGTAATTGTCGCAAGCCTATCATTGTAGGACACCTGGAATCCTATCTTTTTGGGAAGTGGGAAGCATCGAGAAACAATTTTGGCCAATTTGCATGCTATTGTCAACCAAATTTCATACCAGATTCACTGTTTTAGACTTCATAGTTTTGCTATAGAAGCATTTGAGACCAATTGATAACCAATATCAAGAGAACAATTCATCAAGAGAGGGTATTGGGGAGAATTTTTCGGTTGCATTTTGAACTTTAGTAACATATGGTGATCATGAAGAGTTTTATCAGCATGTTTTATTACAAGTAATTGATTTTATATGCAGATACATAGTTACCTTAAAATTTTATTGCAGGCGATTGATCACATCATAAATTCTGCTGCAAAATCAAATTACATGTCTGCTGGTCAGATATCGGTACCTATTGTCTTCAGAGGGCCAAATGGTGCTGCTGCTGGTGTGGGTGCTCAACATTCTCAGGTATGGATTTGACCACAATATACTGTAGCCCTACTGAGTGACATAGTATTAGGAACTCCTCCATTGATGTGGGAATCAAAGTGATCAAGAGTGAAGAGTCTCCATGGATTTATTTTCTAGATTTATTATTCATTGGTATCAGCTCATGGATCATCTGTCTGTGCACCCTTTATTACTTCATTGGCTGAACACAAAGAGCTAAATTTAAATCAAGTATTTATTCTACATTGCTACAGCTGCTGTAGGGCGAGTAGTTTTCTATCTCAATGGCCGCTGTTTTGTATTTACCTACTAGCAGATGACTAGTTTCGGTGATAGGATAGCGAATCAACGAAGTCTGATGTGGATGGTGGATGTGTTATGTTATCATGCCTTCGAGTTGTGTCAATCTATAAATGTTTTTTTATTACTTCCCTCAGTGAAGATCCTCTAAGAAAGCACGTGCAATTCATGGCCTTCTAAGCGACACTATCAAGATGCAAGCTACCAAATGGTTGTTTTAGTAACATTGGAATATCATTCTATCAAGTTCAACCATAATATTTTTTCCTGAGCATCCATGTGTAGGAAATACCTCTATCCCGCCTAAACAAATGTCTCTTGAGTTAGAGAATCATGATGCATTAATAAAATTAAATGTTTACATGACCTTGAACAATTAATGTTTTGGTTGTCACTGACTCACCATGAGGCATTTAAGGATGAAAGGAAATAAACCCTTGTGGGATTTACTGGCAGACGATATCATTGTAACTGAGCTTTTATTCTTTCCAGTGCTATGCAGCATGGTATGGTGCCATTCCAGGATTAAAAGTACTGACCCCTTATTCTTCAGAAGATGCTCGCGGGCTTCTTAAAGCTGCTATTAGGGATCCAGACCCTGTTGTCTTCCTTGAAAATGAATTGTTGTAAGTGGTGTACAGTGAAGATTTCCTTGTCAATCCAAATTCATTTATGTGACGCAATATTGGTATACACCTTTCTATCAATGCTTATTGCTGTTATGATTTTACAGATATGGTGAGTCTTTTCCGGTCTCGGCAGAAGTTCTTGATTCTAGTTTCTGTCTACCTATTGGGAAAGCTAAGGTACCGCCAAAGTATATTGTGCTTTCCCTCTGCTGTATCTAAAATTAAATAAATTAACACTCATATATTTTCTTCAGATAGAACGTGAGGGAAAGGATGTAACAATAACTGCTTTCTCAAAGATGGTCGGCTATGCCCTTCAGGTCTATCATCTATCTTTTAATGAATTTAAATCGAATACTCTTCTGTACTGGCATGATTTCTATTTCACTTAACCCTTAGATAGTTCTATTAGCATTATTTGCTTTATTTTTTTATGATGGACTCTAGTTACTTATGGCTTTCAGTTTGACTCTTAACTTCATTTGTTTAATCTGTTTTGGAAAGTAAGCGTATGGGTGGTATATGAGACAATTGATAAAAAGTGATATAAATTGTAGGATGGAGCCTTAAACCGTGTATAAAGTATTAAGTTGAAAAACTGAAAGTTCACTCCTGTGACCATTAATTTTTCAGTCTATTGTAATTCCCAGCTTCTATTTAATGAAAGTGCCTGTAGCATTATGTTTTTTGATCGAGACATTCTAGATTAATAGAGAATTTAAGTCATGGAATTTGACTAGGTTGTTTTGTGCACATATTTGGTTTTCTAGTTGATCGGCCTATCTTGCCTCTTGGATTAAGTTTCTCATTATGTACAGGCTGCCGATATTCTCGCAAAAGAAGGGATTAGCGCTGAGGTAACTCAAAAAGAAACCTCACAGCCCTTTACATGTTAATAAATGGTGTTAAAATCAAAACGCTGTCAACCACAATTTTATTGTTTCCCTTTGTTTATGCAGGTTATAAATCTTCGCTCCATTCGCCCTCTTGACCGAGCTGCAATAAATGCATCTGTTAGGAAAACAAATAGGCTCGTGACTGTTGAAGAAGGATTTCCTCAACACGGTGTTGGCGCTGAGATCTGGTAAATCGTTTTACATAGCTGCATCTCTGTGTGTGTGTGTGTGTCTGTGTCTGTGTTTGTGTTTATGTTTGTCTCTTTATCTCGCTCACACACACACTGAACCTCTTTTCTTTGCATTTAATGATGTAATCAAGGGAGTTTCTGTATATTTTATAATGATTTGAGTGGTACAAAGAGCCCTATTTATATATACAACTATGAGAGTAATCAACCTAATCAAATCCCAATCCAATCCCTTAATTATAGCAAATATATATGCTTTCCTAAAAGACTTCTATATTTACACCATATACACTTATGACTTAACGGATGATTATTTTTGTTTTCCTCCAGTGCAACTGTTGTGGAAGATAGCTTCGAATATCTTGATGCCCCTGTTGAGAGGATTGCAGGGGCTGATGTTCCCATGCCTTATGCTGCAAATCTTGAAAGATTGGCTGTTCCTCAGGTATGTGCCTATTTTAGTTAGTTTCTTTCTTGTCCTTTTATGAGTTTGTTTTGTGTGTTAGAGAGTTGCATGAGTATATCACCGAACAGAAGTGTTGCTCTCACCTCATATAGGATACGAAGCGGCCTTAATATTATTGATTGAGTGTCCTAATGGTTTAAGTTGGAGAAAGTTCTATCCTCTAAAATTAATAGAGATATAACTAGTAACGATTAACTACAGAAAGCGACCCTGAGGTTCATCATTATTACAGAAGGACCCAGCCATCTTTAACTACAAACACTTCAAATTTTATTTATATTTTACAAAATGCATAGTAAAATAAGGGCTATTTGCTCAGAATATGGTAACTTCAATGGGATGTTTGTACTACCTTACGGGACTATTTGTAGTTGTGAAAGACAACTGAAGTTTTCTTAATGTCTGGATTGCATGCATGGGTAATTTTTAACAGGCATTGACAGATCTTTAATTTTACTTGGGCCTTCAGATTTGAGGCCTGTACCAAAAAATTATAATGCTTGAATAAAACACACCATTTATCTGTGGAGATGTGATGCTTGTGATTCAAGAGTATACCATTCCACGAACGTTTCCTTTTTTCTTATTCTTCTTAGTCTTCACTTTAGTTTATGGTTTTTATCTTTTGACTTTTTAAAAATCATCCTTGAAGTATTCCTTGTCCCTAGCTTTTTCGAGTAGAAATAATGGACCAAAGAGATGAGAAATAATTTCTGCGACCGTACTTCTAAAGCTAATTGGAAATATTGTTTGTTATATTCTGCCATTTCAACAATGATATGATATAAATTGTGTAGTTCTTCATTTCAGATCTTATCTAAGCAACATATATTAATAGTATTTTTGGTCTTTTTCTTTTAGGTTGAAGATATCGTTCGTGCGGCAAAGAGGACCTGCTACAGGTCACGTTAATCTGCTAAATCTGATCAGAGATTCCTGATGGCTACTAAAAAAGTTCCTAGGAATTATCTGTTCAAATTTGATTTTTATATACGTTTTTTGTCGTGTTTGTCTCTTTCCTTTGGAATGTTCGAAATTTTTTGGCCGGAAATCAGGTCTGACTATACTGAAAGTGTTGCTGGCAACATAAAACAGCAAACTGTCTAGGTACCAAGGTTTGTGGATTCTGGGTTTTGATCATGGCATTGGTAGAGAATCAAAAATCTGTAAAACGGATTGATTAAAACCACTGAGGTTAGGGAGAAGAAAATAATAATCTCAACTAATTTTTGCGCTTGGGTCTTGTCACTGTCTACCTTGTGGAGAGTAATGTTTTGTTAGTTAGCTATTTAGACCAAACTCTAAGGCCCCGCAACCAAGTATTCAAGTTAATATTTGATTGGGGGAATTGGTCAGAAATTCTATGGTGCCATAATTTCACGATCCAACGCCTAATATCCATTGTGGAATTGATAGAATGGATATTAGGCGTTGGATCGTGAGATTTATGGCACCATATGGGCACCATAGAATTTCTTTTGTAAACAATGATACTTGTTGTGAAAACTAACTTCCAACATTTAGTATAACTATTTGCCCAAGTATAACTATTGCCCAACTAGTATAAATAATAAATGACACTGAAAATAACTTGTGGCTGCAGAGGTTGTCTATATTTATGTCGAGCTTGAGGTCAAATATTAAATGAAAGGTCCGAATTGATTTACCAAAATCAGATGCTATAAATTTCTTCACTGATTGGTCTATGTATTACAACGGTGTGCCATGTTTGCCCCGACTCTTGCAATTGGAAATTTTACAATTTTACTATCACTTTACTATATGATTCGACAAGTCATTCCAAATTCTATGAGCTCTTAGTCTGGCGGTGGGGCAGAGTGGCGGGTGGCTACTCTGTGTGTGTGTGTGCAGTGATGGGAAATATTTTTTTTTTGGTGGTGGGACTTATTTTCAAAAATTAGACAAGTCGTAGGGATTTTGATGTAGGTTTAGAACTTTTACTATATTGCACTTTATTATGTGGCGCAATTTTATAATTTATTAAAAGTCGAATAAATGCACATTAAGGATGCATAAAATGCACAATGTTGTGTGTTAAAATGCACATTAAAAAACACGTCATATTTTTACAAAATCACATATTTGTCACTGCCTATTGTTCTGTCGGTTCGGTTATTTCGGTTTTCTTATATAATAATGCCGACATAGAACCGAAATATCCAAAATTTTAAAAGTAAAAATAGATAATTGAATCAAAATATAAAAAATTTGAACCCAAAATCTTAGTTCAGTCGGTTTCGGTCACTATTGTGCAGTATGACAAACATTAATGTGCAATTCATCCAACACTATTGTGTACGGTTTTAGTCGCTATTGTGCAGTATGAACCGACCAAACTTTTATTCCAAAGCAAATTGAAATTGAACTAAATTATTTGATTTATTCGGTTGGTTAACCGAATTACCCTAAATAATAAATTAATTTTATTCTTTATATTAATAATATATTTATTATTTTAATAATTTTATATTATTTTTTGTTGGAAAAACATAATATTTGAAATAGCGAAATTGATGATGTGCATCTCACAAACATTAATCGAACCAAAATATGAAATTCGAATTGAATAAATGAGTTCATTCGGTTTTGGTAAATATTGTGCAACCTGTTAGTTATTAATATGCAATACATCTAGCACTATTGTGCACTGTTTAGGTCGCTATTGTGCAATTTGAACCGACCAAACATTTGGTCCAAATTAAATTAAAATCGCACTGAATTACTTGGTTTATTCGGTCGGTTAACCGAATTACCCTAAATAATTTAAATAAATTATTATTTTATATTAATTTAATATTTTATATTATTTTTATATTAGTTAATATTTTTTTATTATTTTATATTGTTTTAAAATTTTATATTATTTTTCTTTAATATTTTAATTTATATTTATATATAAAAATTATAAAAAATAACATTTTTTTTATAAATATAGATTTGACCATAAACTAAGTTGAAATATAATCAAAATTCTTAAATCACAAATAGGTCCCTAGAAATTATCTAAATTTTATAAAAAAAAAAAACCAATCC